TCATTCCCCTGCAATTTCACTGCTCAATTCACTGTCATTTAGGAGTTAAATCACTTTGTTTCTGTTTATGCAGCCCTAGCCACACCTCCCCTGGCTATGATTGACAGAGCCTGCATGAAAAAAAAACTGGTTTCACTTTCAGACATATGTAATTTACCTTAAATAATTGTATCTCAATCTCTAAATTGAACTTTAATCCCATACAGGAGGCTCTTGCAGGGTCTAGCAAGCTATTAACATAGCACGGGATAAGAAAATCTTAATTAAACAGAACTTGCAATAAAGAAAGCCTAAATAGGGCTCTCTTTACAGGAAGTGTTTATGGAAGGCTGTGCAAGTCACATGCAGGGAGGTGTGACTAGGGTTCATAAACAAAGGGATTTAACTCCTAAATGGCAGAGGATTGAGCAGTGAGGCTGCAGGGGCATGTTCTATACACCAAAACTGCTTCATTAAGCTAAAGTTGTTCAGGTGACTATAGTGTCCCTTTAACTTTGAATTCTCACTTTAGTGAATAATCCTGCATAGTTCTGAACTGAGTGTAATGTGTAGATTGTGAGAGAGAAAGCTTGTAGAAGGAAAAGAGAACAATTGAGAATTAAAAATAATCAACAGCCAGTAAAAAGGGAATCACCTTTCGTTAAGAACTTGTAAAATTTTGTCCCGAAATGCAATTAATTCTAATTTTGGCCACTCTGTTAATCGTCTAAATTCCCGAACTCCGGACCTACATATGGACACGTTATTCTGTTATTGTCGCCAAAGAAGGAGGAATAGAAAGAAGGAGAAGCTGAATTTATTTGGAAAGGGGGAGGGGTGTGGGGAAGGGGTATGGGGAGGGGGCAATCCTATGGGCTGTATCTCCTGTCCAATTAAGAGGAAGGAAACAGCTGATTGATGGCTAGGGGACAGCGACTAATTGTTGATTTTATCCACGATCAAGTGCCAACTGACCAATAGAGAGAAAAAGTAGGAGCAGTAGGTCCAGTGGGTTTTGTTCAAATGTGCGATTACTGTGCAGTGCGCTGTGTGCTCTGTGTAGTGTGCTCTGCGCTGAAATAGTAATTAAGGTGAGATGTGCCAACTTGGGCTGGGTATCAGAGAGTTTTTATATTACTATATTGTGAATGGGGGAGTGCCAAATGCTCTAGGTATGCCCCTGAGAGGACATCCGGTAATGGAGATCAACAAAACCCTAGATCCCAGTGTGTGAATAAATTAGTGGATCCCTGAGCGGACAGGTACTCCCACAACAGTCCGGTCACACGATGCATGGTGAATCCACAGAGCTGGCTATTGGCACCAAATACAGAAATTCTCTAAAACGCTGAGGTGCCCAGTAAGTACGCACTAAAAACATAATGATGCGTTTCTATAGTATTTTAAAGGTACAGTGCACCTTTTTTTATTTTTTA